TCTTTGGTCTGTAACGCATTGCGCTCATTAACAGGTAGAATACCTAGTGCTACTTCTCTAGTGGGGCAAAGACTCTTGGGCACCTCTCAAAAATCGTCTTTCTTCGCCTGCTTCTAATATCATGGCTTGCTACTTCCTAAGATCCCATTGCAGGACAAAGCTGTTCTGCAGCTGACGTTCGCTACCAGTTACCGAGATGGGAACTCACTTAGGCGCACTCTTCGCAGGCACGCAAGCTCGCGCTTACCACTTGGTATAAGCTCTTCCAGCCTGTTACAGTCATAAACGACATTCTTCGGCAGTCCTCCTTTCCAGTTTTCTAATGAATCGTACCTTCGCTCAAAGGAGGCGGTGATCGGAGCCACTCTAGAAGGATGGAACAACTGGAATAGAGCAAGCATAGCTCCACCTTTGATTGCTTAAAAGGTGGTAAATCTTCACATCAATCGTTCTGTTGGGCAATTCTTTCTTAATGGAGACGGAATTTCAATGGAAAGGTCGTGCGGAGGAGAGAATCCGAACGAGAGGGTTGCCGTTTTCTTCCGGATCCTATATCTAAACTTACCGATCGCTCTTTTCTAGTGACATCCCGATTTTTTTAGTTGAAGTCGTGCTCAACAAAATTGCCAAAGGGCTTCTTGCGCACGAATTTCTTCACGTCTTCGTACAAAGCATCTAGTGATAGTCGTTGGCTGCTGATGTAGGCGTGTAGCAGTTGATGATGGTGATGGCCTTCTGACGTGGAGGTCGTAGTCGTAGGATGGCTACTTGAGGTGATAGGATCCATGCAAATAGACAAGATGGACGATAGATGGGTGGACGACGAACCAATGCTTCCAACACTTCGTGATAGAACCTTGTCACCAGAAAGATGAGGGTCCCATCACTCATCTGTCGCACGTCCTTCTTCGTGGACTTCGTAATCCTGCAGAGCGATGACGTGGTACTTTATGTGGCCTGCAGCGTCGAAAAAAGCGTGAAGATCGGCGTTTGTGGAGATTGTTCTGACGTTGTAATTAGAGTTCTGCAGAGCTTGAGGAAGCGTCCATGACGTGACGTTCGGCCAGACGTGTCGTTTTTGTCCGATCCAAAAGGCGGCCTGAGTACTCTGGCGTTTTTGCTATCAAATGGTGCCGTTATCGTTTTTGCTACCAAATGGTGCCGTAGACGGGATCTCCGATGTTCAGAGCATATTCATTTCTTCTAGCTGACAGAGTAACTGTAAGCAGACTTACTATGATTACTCTTGATCTCTACGGGGGTACACTAAACCCCGATTGAGCGGGAACCTCCTAGCGACCTGAAAGGCAGCGGGGGAGGGTGGGGGGATCTGGTCTGGTCGGCTCTTAGCTAGGCATCCGGCCGAAGCTAAACATGTCGAACTCCTTCACAGCTTGGAAGGCCCTATCTAAGTAAACACTCGGCTGTGCATCGCAGTTCAACACCGTGTCAATCACACAACCTTGAGGTGGTCAACCATTGTGAGTTCTCAATTTTTGAGCGATTCCATCGTGTGAAAGCACCCGTAGAAAACTAAATTTTCCAGAAAGTGAATTGTAACTGACTTGATTAACAATTATAAACATTAAATTTTTGGAATGGTGTGGCAGTAAGTAATTCAAAATTACCTCTAGTATTTTCTTTCCTTATCCAATCGCTCCGCAACACCGACCAATCACACGCGCTAATTACGCTGCCATAGCGGACGGTGCAGAAGGGGCCTAAAAGAACGCGTTACTTACAACAGGAGCCGGGAGTTCGCTCCGGAAGCTGCGAGCATGATTTCACAGTGGGGAAAACCCTGCCTGCTGGCTTCCCTCCTGCATTTCCCTTTCGCCGTTTTCGCGCTCTTCAGTGTGCATTTTCGGATTAGCATAGCGCTGGGTAAGCACAAAATCTCAAAAGCGACTTTTGCCCGGACACTGCCTTCAAGCCAAATCAATTCGTTGTTGTCAGACAATAAAACTCGCCTGAGTCAAAAAAAATTTTTTTAGTTTTTGCTTTCATCACTTAGAATGATTACGAGTAAAGTCATCAGATGCGCCGGCAGCAGCTCTCAAACGTGTTTTTGCCGAACGAATTTTCCACCACACATCATATCACATTCAAGTTAAGAATATGAGAAACAGGGGCAAAAAGTCTATAATATGGTGG